AATTTCGATGACTTTGAGGAAGATTTCAACCTGATTATCAACAACTGTTTGAAATACAATGCCAAAGACACAATCTTCTACCGGGCAGCCATCCGTCTGCGGGAGCAGGGAGGTGCTGTTCTCCGGCAGGCTCGCCGGCAGGCTGAGAAGATGGGCATTGACTTTGAGACGGGCATGCACTTCCCTCACTGTGTAACGGTGGAAGAAGCTCAGGTCCAGGACATTGAGGATGGTGGGTACTCATCCCCCGGCCCAGGGTACGAGGGCTGCTTGGAGGTAAAGCCCAGGCAGAGACAAAGCACCCGGGGGTCTGTCTGAGCTGCCTCCCATGGGAGATTCAGTCGGATGCCTGGGCTGTGTGTCCCCACTCCCCGGAGACGTGGGGGCTTTGCTAGCCAGGTACCTATTGGCCCCGTTAGGTTGGCTCTAGGCAGCAGCTTGTCTGCGCGTCCTGCCAGTCCCTTGGTCCCTTGTCCTCCTCATGGTCAGAGCAAGGGGCTGCCTGGGATGTGGCCTCCCTGGCCAGCGTCAGGGGTACTGTCACTCACCCCCGTTCCCAGCACTGACTGTGAGCTGCTGAGGTTCCTGTTGTGCTGCTGGGCTAGAAGGACTGACTGCCCCTGGCCAGAGCTGTGTGCTTCCCTCAGTGCCCTCAGCTGCAGGCTGAGCTGCCTGCCAGAGCTCCCAGTACGCCTCAGCCAGATCTCGCTGACTCCATGGTTGTGGTTCTGCTTGTCCCTGGGCAGTGGGGAGCCCCTCCAGGAACAGCTGGTCAGAGAAGGATCCACTTAGGGTCTACCATTCCATGCTCCAGCACGGGACAGGCTCAGACAGGGAAACTTCCCTGCTCTGTAATGCTTCAGGATCCCTTTTCCTGTTACAACCCCTTTTCCTTTTCCTGCTGTGCTCTTGCCCCAGCCAATAGGAGCCCCGATATTCTCCAAGCTGCTGATCAGCCTGCTTTCCCCAGCAGTCCCAACTGGCTTGTTTCCCATAGGGCTTCTTCTCCAGGTCTTTTAGGGTAACTTCTCATCTTCAGAGGTGTTTGACACCACGTCAGCTACTTCCCTCCTGCAGGCAATCTGGATTGCCCCATGCCCGTTCAAGCAGAGGAGCTCCAGAGAGTTCCCAATTTCTTTCATCCATCTGCTCCTCTTTGTTCCCCCAGAAGATGTGCGGCTGCTGCTCTCGGAGAATCAGAAGCACCTCCCCTTGGAGGAGCAGCTGAAGATCCTGCTGGAGCGGCTGGATGAGGTCAACGCCGGCAAGCAGAGCATAGGACGGTCCCGCCGGGCCAAAATGATCAAGAAGGAGATCACGGTCCTACGGCGGAAACTCGCACACCCACGGGACCTGGGCCGAGACGGGCTGGAGCGGCACGGCTCCTCTGCCAGGGGAGTCCTGCAGTCGCACAACCCCTGCGAGAAGGACCTGCAGACAGACAGCGCCGCGGAAGAGAGCAGCAGCCAGGAGACTGGCAAAGGTACTGGTCCCTCCAGAATGCTGCCAGTCTGGGGGAGCGGTGGAGAGCCGCCTCGGGGCAGGCTTGGCCAGCCGAGCAAGGGGGACTGGCAGCCGGAGGAGACCGTCTCCTGCGTCTGGGACAGCCGCAGCCTGGCGTGCCTTTGCCTCTGGGGAGGGCAGCCTGGCGTGCCTTTGCCTCTGGGGAGGGCAGCCTGGCGTGCCTTTGCCTCTGGGGAGGGCAGCCTGGCGTGCCTTTGCCTCTGGGGAGGGCAGCCTGGCGTGCCTTTGCCTCTGGGGAGGGTCGGCAGGTCACTGCCCTTCACGGCTGCTCCTGCCCCCCATGCGGCTGGAGACCGAGCATCCCAGCTGCGTGATGTGGGGCACGAAACGGATGTTTCCCCCTGCCAGGCCCTGCCACGCTGCCTGGTTTCTCTTGGGGTGTTATGGAGCAGCCTGCCCTCCAGTGCCTCTTCCTGCCCAGGGGCACGGGAGGGGGTTGCAGCGGCACCGACTGCCCAGCTCCAAACACCCTCCCGGGGCTGGGAGCCGACCGCGGGCCGGCCACCGGCGCCCTGGCCTGGCTGGAGATGCCGAGCTGGGCTCCGTGGGGCGCGCAGCAAAAGCTCCAGGCAGAGCTGCCAGGTGTCACTGAGGGGTTGTCACCTCTGTGTCCCAGTCCTGCCCCGCTAAGCACTGGGAAAAGCAGGCTATCCTGCAAGCAGCGAGTGTTTTAGGGCCTTTTCCTTTCAGGGGTGCAGCGGAGCTTTCTCAGCTGCTGCATGTTGTGGGAAAGGTTTATTCCTGCTCCCTTTTTATTCTTGACTTCTGCTTCTGTAAGGTTGCTGCCTGGGAGAAAGGAGGCATCCCCGGTTGGTGGGGTGTTCTCTGATGTCTCCATCGAGCTTTTACTGTCAACAGACTGGATAATTTGACCCTGAGGGTGCAGGCACAGCAAAGCTTGGGAGGGAGGATCTTCCAAGAGAACATTCCCGAGAAACTAAGCTGTTCCTTGACCCTGCTGCCACACGGTCCCTGCCAGACATAGTCTCCTCCCTCTTCCAGGTCTGGGCCCCAATTCTTCTTCCACCCCAGCACACGAAGTTGGCAGGAGGACCTCAGTGCTCTTCTCCAAGAAGAACCCTAAAACTGCAGGCCCTCCAAAACGTCCGGGACGTCCCCCAAAGAATCGAGACAGCCAGATCACTCCCGGGCACGGGAACAGCCCCATCGGCCCCCCCCAGCTCCCGATAATGGGGTCCTCCCAGCGGCAGAGGAAGCGGGGGCGAAGCCCGCGCCCCAGCTCCAGCTCAGACAGCGACAGCGACAAATCCACCGAAGACGCTCCCATGGGTGGGTGTGGCAGCTCCCCCTGCGCAGCCGGGCGACCGCGGCCCCACCGGGGACACGTGGCAGGTCATAACGCTCCTCGGGTGGGGTGTTTTGCAGACCTGCCAGCCAACGGTTTCAGCAGCGGGAACCAGCCGGTGAAGAAGAGTTTCCTGGTGTACCGCAACGACTGCAATCTTCCCCGGAGCAGCTCCGACTCGGAGTCCAGCAGCAGCAGCAGCAGCAGCGCTGCCTCGGACCGGACCAGGTACCGGCCCCGGCCCGGCTCTGGTGGCCCCGGTGCTTCCCCGGGGTGGCAGGGGACAGCTCTCAGCCTGGAGTTGCTGGATGAGGAGCCTGTTTGGTGGTCCCGGTCTCACTCACCCTCCTGCAGCCCGGCTCCTAAACCTTAGGAAGCTGCGGGTTTTGTGCTTTTTTGTCATGTAAAGCCTGAAAGTGTGAGTGTGCAGCAGAGGGCTGGCGGGGAGCGGGGTGTCCCCTCTCGGCACAGCGGCTGCTTCCAGCAGCCAGCTCCAGCAGGTTCCTGCCTGCACCTTTAATTCGGATCAGTGCTCGTCTTCTGGGTCCTCTGGGGTGGAACTGGGTGAGGGTCCGGCCGGCGCCCCGGCCGAGGCACCATCCCACCTTTCTTCTCAGTTCCCCCCGCCAAGTCCTTCCTGCTGCCGAGGCCGGCGGTTGGAGCCCAGAAGGTGCTTTCTGGAAGTTCCAACACGGCTCCTACCCCCAGCTCTGCTCCCTCTCTCTGCAGCACGACGCCCTCCAAGCAGGGCCGAGGGAAACCCTCCTTCTCCCGAGTGAACTTCCCGGAGGACAGCAGCGAGGACACGTCGGGGACGGAGAACGAATCCTACTCCGTGGGCACGGGGCGAGGCGTGGGGCACGGCAGTAAGTACCGTGGCGGCCACCCGGCTCTCGCCTTCCCCTGGGAGGAGGGGGGGGGGACGACGACAGGCTGCTGACCCCTCCTGTCCCCTCCCAGTGGTGCGCAAGGGCATGGGGCGCGGCGCGGGGTGGCTGTCTGAGGACGAGGACTCCTCCCTGGATGCCCTGGACCTGGTGTGGGCCAAGTGCCGGGGGTACCCCTCCTACCCAGCCCTGGTGAGTACCGCCGGCCGCGCGCCCCCGAAACCCACATCCCCCCCCCCCCCCGCCCGCAGAGCGGCGCTTGGGGTGGGTGGGGGTGTGTGTGTGAGTCCCCCAGCCCTCCCCTTGCTCTTTGGGCAGATCATTGACCCCAAGATGCCGCGGGAAGGCATGTTCCACCACGGCGTCCCCATCCCCGTGCCCCCCCTGGAGGTGCTGAAGCTGGGGGAGCAGATGACTCAGGAAGCACGCGAGCACCTCTACCTTGTCCTCTTCTTCGACAACAAGCGCACTTGGTAAGGCCGGGGGTGCCTTTTGAGGGGGGGGGCACGCATCCAGAGACGATTGTAACCCTCAAACGAGGTGGCCCCCCGCTCCCCGCAGGCAGTGGTTGCCCCGGACGAAGCTGGTGCCGCTGGGGGTGAACCAGGACCTGGACAAGGAGAAGATGCTGGAAGGCCGCAAGTCCAACATCCGCAAGTCGGTGCAGATCGCCTACCACCGCGCCATGCAGCACCGCAACAAGGTGCAGGGCGAGCAGAGCAGCGACTCCAGCGAGAGCGACTGAACCGGCCCCCCCGCCTCCCACACCCCCCCCCCCCCCCCACGCCCCCCCAAAACCCCCCCCACGCCGTATCTCAGGGCAAACGGGGCTCGGGGAAAAACCCCCTCCCCCCTCACCCCCCCCTCAGTGCAGCTGGTCTGCACCCACCGCGGGGGGACCGGGAGGGGGGGGACCCTCCTTCTCTCCTTCCCTCGTTCCCGCTGCCCCCGCCCGCGGCTCCCCGGGACGTTGTGGCCGCCCCCCCCCTCCCCACGCCATGCTGCCCCCCCCCCCCCCCCCCCCTCTTTTCCCCACGCCCCTTCCCCACCCCGGGCCCAGCCCCCGGCCGGCCCCGCGCTCGGACGTTGTTTGTATTTATTTTGAAGGAAGAAAAATCTATTGATTCTTAGAAAATAAACCTCCGCTGCGGAGCCGCCGCCGCTGCGGGCGGGGGGGGGGGGGGGGGGGCGGAGACTGGCGGGCGGAAGTTGGGCCGGAGCGGGGTGGGCGGGGCGGTGGGCGCGGCGTGGGGCGTGGGGCGGGGCGGCGTGGGGCCCTCTGCGGCATCTCTGGGCGGGGGGCAGAGGTGAGTTTTGGGGGGGGCACGGCGGAGGTAGGCGGTGCCTGACGGCGAGCGCGGCCGTGGGGCGGGGGGACGCGGCCGGCACACTCCCCTCCGCACCCCCAACCACCCCCCTCCATGAAACTGCGGGACGCCCCGTCCGCCTGCCCGTCGCTGTGGCGGTCCCTGCCCTGCCCGCCCGCCGAGCTGCGCCTGGACCTGGTGCTCTCTTCGGGGCAAACCTTCCGGTGAGCCAGCCCGGGGGGGTCCGCTCCCCCTCCCCGTCCCGCCCGGGGGGGTCCGCTCCCCCTCCCCGTCCCGCCCGGGGGGGTCCGCTCCCCGTCCCGCCCGGGGGGTCCGCTCCCGCTCCCCGTCCCGCCCGGGGGGGTCCGCTCCCCGTCCCGCCCGGGGGGGTCCGCTCCCCGTCCCGCCCGGGGGGGTCCGCTCCCGCTCCCCGTCCCGACCCTCCCGCTGCCCCCGTGTGCGGCAGATGGTGGGAGAGCAGCCCCGGCGCCTGGACGGGCGTGCTGGGGGGGCGCGTCTGGACGCTGAGGCAGGAGCGGGACCGCCTGTGGTACACGGTGTACGGCGAGGAAGAGGAAGAGGAGGAGGAGGAGGAGGAGGAGGAGGAGGAGGAGGAGGAGGAGGATGGGCGTCCCGCCGAGGCGGCGAAGCTGGATGGCGCGGAGGCGGAGAGGATCCTGCGCGACTACTTCCAGCTGGACGTGGGGCTGCCGGCCCTGTACCGCGCCTGGGGGGCGGCCGACCCCCTCTTCGGCAAGGTGGCCAATGACTTCCCAGGTGAGGTGGCCCCGTGGGGCCAAAGGCAGCGGCGGCACCCGCCCGGCGTCCCCCTCACCGTGTCCTGCCGGCAGGAGTGCGGGTGCTGCGGCAGGACCCCGTCGAGTGTCTCCTCTCCTTCATCTGCACCTCCAACAACCACATCTCCCGCATCACCGCCATGATCGAGCGCCTCTGCCAGGCCTTCGGCCGCCGCCTCTGCCGCCTCGACGCCCGGCCCTGCCACGCTTTCCCCTCCCTCTCCGCCCTCGCAGGTCCGCCATCGCCCCACCCGTGCCGCCCCGCCACGGCCTCCCCCGTGCCCACTCACGTCCGTCCCCCCCCGCAGGCGCCGACGCCGAGCCCCGGCTGCGGGCGCTGGGTTTTGGCTACCGGGCCAAGTTCGTCAGCGGGACCGCGCGGGCCATCGCCGAGGGGCTCGGCATCGAGGGGCTGCACCGGCTGCGTGCCGCGCCCTACGCCGAGGCCAGGAGGGTGCTGTGCGCCCTGCCCGGCGTGGGTGCCAAGGTGGGTGCGTGCTGGGAAGGGGTGGGACGGGGAGCCGGTGGCGGGGGCTGACGGCACTGCCCGACGGCAGGTTGCCGACTGCGTCTGCCTGATGGCCCTGGACAAGGCGGAGGCGGTGCCGGTGGACACCCACGTCTGGCGCATCGCGCGGCAGCGGTACGGCGCGGCGCTGGGCGGCAGGAGCCTGACCCCCCGGGCCCACCAGGAGATCGGTGAGGGCGGCGCTGGGCCCTGACGTGGGACCCACGGGGATGGGGGGGACGGCGGCCCCAGCGCTTACCCTCTCTCTGCAGGCGATTTCTTCCGGGGGCTCTGGGGCCCCCGCGCTGGCTGGGCGCAGGCGGTGAGTACCCCCCCACACTTCCACCCGGGGGTCAGCCCTCACCCCCCCATCCCAACCGTGCCCACCCCATCGTCTCTCCCCATGCCAGGTCCTCTTCTGCGCCGACCTCCACAAGGGCCAGGAGCCGGCCGGCAGCCGGGATCGGGCCAGGGCGGGACGAGGCCGGGACAGCCGTGGGGACGGGCCACCCTAGGGACACCCCAGCAGGGACAGAGACCCCCCCTCAGTGGCGAGGAGAGGGGGGATCACTGCGCCCGCTGCCAGCCTGGGATGCGCAGGGGTGTGGGCAGCTTTTGGGGGAGCTGCTGCCCTGGGGAAGTGAGGCTGGGGGGTGTCAGGGCTGTGCCCAGCTCCCCCCCCACCTCAGGACAGAGCCGAGCCAAGTGGTGTTGGCCTCTTGCCTTTATTACAAGCAATAAAATAGAAACATCCATTTGGAAAATTCTCCTTGAACAGGCTGAGGGTGGGGTGTGGGGCAGTGCCAGGGCAGGCGTGGGGTGGAGCGGGGGGGATGTGGGCCCGGGACACAGCCCCGAGCTTGGCGGGGGGGGCTCCTGGGGGCTGCCCCAGCTCTGCTGCGAGCCTGCGGTGGGGGGCAGCCCCACATACCCCGGGGCAAGCAGGGCAGGATGCCCCCACACCATCCCTCGCCCTACTCCAGCCCTGCAGGGTCCCCCACTCCACACTGTGCCTGGGGGAGGGCTGGACCCCCCCCAGCTCCCTCCCTGACCCGCCCCCCCAGGGATGCAGCCATGGGGGGGCTGTGCTCAGTCTGGAGGGAGGCGATGAGCTCTGCTCACGGGTGGGCACCCCCAGTCCGACCCTGTGGGGGGGAAGTGGGGTGAGAGCTGGGCAGCAGCCCACCCCAGGGGTGTGGGACGGGGACGGGGGGGTCAGGGCTCACCGTTACTGGTGCCCCCCGCCAGCTGCTCACTGGGGCTGGTAAGAGTCGTCTGCCCAGGGCCCTCCTGGCTGGTTCCCAGCTGCAGCTTCCTCATGTGCCTCACCACCGCCGTGGCGTTGAAGGCTTGCTGCCGACCCCACAGCGTCCATCATCTGGCACAGGGTGCCTGGGGGGGGGGGCCCCCTGCACCCCCAACACTCCCCCCACATCCCACACACCCCCCTCAGCTCCCCAGCACCCCGCGCTCACCTTCCACTTGCTCTTTGCGAAGTTCTTCTTGATCTGTTCGCTCACCGACTGGTGGATGTTCTTGTTCAGGGCCGTGTCCCCGGCAATCCTGGGGTGGGAGGGTGGTCAGAGGGGGCCCCCCCGCCCCCCAGCTGCCAGGGGGTGAGCCAGGGGGAGCAGACAGTGGCCAGTCCCTCCCTTACCAGGGATGCTGCAGGGCTTGCTCGCAGGTGAAGCGCTTGCTGGGGTCCTTCTCCATCAGGTGCTGGATGAAGTCCTTGGCTGGGACGGGGCGCAGAGCAGCCATGAGCACCGGCACCCGCTGCTGCCCCCCCCCAGCTACTGCGACACTGCCCCGGTGTCCCAGCTCACCCGAGTCCGAGATGTCATCCCAGTAGGGCGAGTCGAACTCGTACTCAGCCCGCAGGATCTGCTCGAAGAGTTTGGCGTCGTTCTCGTCGTAGAAAGGGGGGTAACCGCAGAGCCTGGGGGGGGGGGGGAGGGCGGGTGAAGAGGGGGACACTGGCCTCAGGTGGCCCCGGGACCCCTACAGAGGGGAAGTGGGTGGGATGGGGGGGCTACGTACAGGATGTAGGAGATGACCCCGATGGACCAACAATCCACCGCCTTGCTGTAGGGCTTCTGCGCCAGCACTTCAGGGGCTGGGGAGGGGATGGCAGGGGTGAGCGGGGGGGGGGGACCCCCAACCCCGCACCCAGGGTGGTGGCAGCCCACGGCAAGCCGCTCACCCACGTAGCCGGGGGTGCCACAGGCCGTGGACATGACGCTGCCGCAGCCCTCGATCTTCGACAACCCGAAGTCACTGATCATGATCTTGGAGTCCTCCTCCAGGCTGTAATAGAGCAGGTTCTCGGGCTGCGGGGAGCGGGGGGGGGGGGGGGTCAGGGAGGGGTGACACTGGGGTCCCCTCCCCGCCACTGCGATGGGGGGAGCTGTGTGCATCCCCCCCACCGCTCACCTTCAGGTCGCGGTGGACGATGCCCATGTCGTGTAGGTACTTGACGGCGTCGAGGATCTGCCGGATCAGGGTGCTGGCGTCCCGCTCGGTGTAGAAGCCCTTCTCCACGATGCGGTCGAAGAGCTCCCCCCCCGAGACCCTGCCGGGGACAGGCAGCGCCGGTCAGCACGGCCCCCCCCAGGCTTCCCCCCCCCCCCCCCCCAGGCCCCCCAACATCACTCACAGCTGCATGATGAGGTAGAGGTGGGTGCTGCTCTCGTAGATGTCATCCAAGGCCACGATGTTGGGGTGCTTGATCCTGGGGGGGGGGGTGGGTGGGTGGGATGTGGTGAGGGGGCTCCCGGGTACCCCCCACCCCGGCCCCCATGGGGCAGGGAGCAGCCGGGCTCGGCCCCATGGGGCGTCACGCGCCGCCGGCTATTTTGGGCGCTGCCGATAACACCAGGCGATGGGTGCTGGCAGCGGGGAGCCGTGCCGGGTGCTGGGGGGGGTGGGTGGGTGCAGCGTTGGCCCCCCCCCCACCCCGGCGCTGGGACAGCCCCTACTTGTGGAGGACGGCGATCTCGTTCTCGATGCTGGTCTCCTTCCCCTCCAGCGCCTTCTTGGCGATGCACTTGATGGCCACCAGCTTCCGCGTCGCCTTCTCCTCCGCCAGGACCACCTCGGAGAAGGCCCCGCTGGGGAGGGGGGGGGGGGCGCGGTGAGGGGGGGCTGCCGCCACGCCACGATTGCCATGGTGACGGGTGGAAAAATCCGGCTATTTATAGGGGAAAAGCGAGCGGGAGCCGCCCGCCGGGACGGCCGGACACGGGAGCATCCGGCATCCCCCGGCGCAGCCGCACCGTCCCCTTACCAAGCAGGATGAGGCCGTGGTGCTGCCGGCAGCCGGGGCAGAGCCCCCGGAGGGGTTTTGGTAGCCCCGTGGGCCAGCTGGGCCACCCGGGTCCGGGCCGAGGTGGCCGGGGGGAGCCGGGGCAGGTGGAGGGCAGCGCCGGGGCCTAAGCCTTGTCCTAATTAACCCGCTAATCCAGTTTAAGAGCTTTACGGCGTCGGGCCCTCGCCTCGGGCCGCTCTCTGAGCCGGCGTGGTTCCACGCGGCGGGTTTGGCAAACCCACGGGTGGGCTGTCAGCCGGTGTCACTCCCCCCACACCCCACCCCGCCTGTGACTCACGTGCCCAGGACCTCTCGGAAGTCGTAGATGCGCCGAATGTCCTCGGTCCTCTTCTTCCAGCTGGGCCCATCCTGCCCCAGCGGCATGGTGGCCTGCGGGGCCACCCACTCGCACCTGGGACACGAGTGGGGAACGGGGGCGTCAGTGTGCCCTGGAGGGGGCGGGGATGCCGTGGGGAGAGGGGACACGGGAGTGGCGGGGTGTCAAGGGGATGTGGCCGATGGTTGTCATCGTAGGGTGAGGAGGGACAAGCTCTGTGCGTTTGCTCTGGCTCCCCGGCGAGGAATCCTGGCGTGGGGTGCCCCACGGGGGACACACGCCGGCCCCTCTCGATGCCTGCCCGTCCCGCGCCCGCCTTATGGGCGGGGCAGGCGGGCAGCGGGAGGGGCAGAGTCACACGCGTGGGTGCTCGGGGGTCCCCACCCCCGGCTCCCGCACGCGCGCCAGCTGGCACAGCCGCGCCGAGCGGGGACACGAGTGGGAGCGGAGGGGTTACGCCCCTACGCCGCCACCGGCTGGGCTCTCGCGCGGGCATCAGCTCCACGCGTGGGCACGCCGCCCCCGCCCCGCCCCGCCCTTACCGACGGCGCTGCGGCGGCCCCGGCCCCGGCCCCGCGCGGAGCGGCGGCGGCTCCTCCCGGCGCGGCGCCCACGGACAGCCCTGACGTCACGGGCAGGGGCGGGGACACGCCCCGCCGCCGCCAATGAGAAGCCGGCGGGCGGGGAAGGTTACGCGCCACGCGTGACCGCGGCGCGCGTGGCCGCGCAGGATGGGCTGGCGACACACACGCGCGTGGGGAGGGGGCTGGTTGTGGGGTTGCGAGTGGGTTCCTTGAGGACACGCGTGGGGCACACCCTCCCGCCACTGCAGGACAGCCCCACCCGCGGCACTGCCCCCTCCCTGCAGCCCAGGGGACCACCCAGCTCCCCCCCCACCCAGCACCAGCAGGACCGCCCACCCCACGTCCATCCCACGGCAGGGCTCTCCCCCCACGGCGCCCCCGAGGCCACCACACCATCGCCGGCACCGGGCTGCCTTTATTGCCCGCGCACAGCAGCGCAAACCACCGGTACACGGAGAGCCCGGCCGCCCCTGTCTCGCACCCTGCCCCTCCCCACGCCCCCCAGCTCCACCCCCGGCGCGGGGGGTGGGGGGCGGGTTCCCTCCCCCTCCTCGGGGCCGTGGGTAAGGGACAAGGGACCGTGGGAGCCGCACCGCAGCAGCCACCACATCCGCCCTCCGCAGCAACCCGGCTGATGTCACCCTCCCAAAATAACAGGGGGAGCACCGGGGGGGGGTGGGGAGAGGAAACCACTGGTGTGGGGAGGGAGCCGCTCCTGGGAGGGACCCCCACAACTCCGTGGGGTCCCCAGCCCGGGTGGGTGACAGTCCCTGGGAGGGCACTGCAGCCACGACCCGTCACACGGGTGGGAAGGCCCCAGGGGGGCCGGGGGGCTGCGCCCCCTCCGTCCCGCACCCGCAGGCAGGTCACCCACGCCCTTGGCTGCCGAGGTCCACGGGATGGGGCTGGGGGGGGGGGGTGTCCTCGGCCCCCCCACTACCCATCCAGCAGCTTGAGGATGCTCTCCCGCTCCTTCAGCGTCTTCCAGGCCTGGTCCTTCTCCTTCTTGGTGGGCGTGCGCTTCTTCTGCCGGGCGGCCATGATCTTGCGGAAGGCGTCCATCACCTCGTTGTCGGCCATGCGGACGCGCTGCCGCAGCTCCTGCCGGTGCAGCTCCTCCTTGGCCAGCCTGGGGGGGGGACAGACACCCCCACACACACATGGGGAAGGGGGTGTCAGTCCCGGCCAGGCAGCCCCTCTCCCCGCCCCGTGCCCCTCCCTGCCCGCTCTCACCGCAGCAGTTCGTGTTTCTTGGCGCGGTTGTGGGCGCTCAGGGCCTTCAGCTCAGCCTGCCTCTTGCGCAGCTCGGCCAGCACCTCGTCCTCCGAGTCCTCAGCCGGCCGGTCCTCCGACTCCAGCAAGCCCTGGGCCACCAGCTCCTCCTTGATCCGCCCCTCCAGCGACTTGGTGTGGGGGACACTGCCGGGGCGGAGAGCAGCTGCTGCCCAACCCACACCCCTTGCTCCCGCGCCGCTCGCCGGGGCAGGAGAAGCCCCCGGTGCCTTTGGCATCACTGCCAGCCACGCCGAGCTCCAGGCCCCGCTCAGCTGCTCACCTGAAGGGTTTGTTCTGGCTGCGGGGTGATGTGCCAGCGCCATCGGCTCCCGAGTCCTTGCCGGCGATCTCAGGGATGGGGGAGTCCTCGACGGGGGAGATGATGTTCTCCTATAGCGAGCGGAGCGCGAGGGAAGGGTGAGCGTGCTGCCCCACAGCGCCAGGCCGTGGCACGGCCCCACCAAGCCCGCTCACCTCCACCAAGGCCTGCAGGAGACGCTGCGTCAGGGGCCCAAAGGGACACCCATCCTCCGGCTGCTCGTGCTGGGCTTCCGACTTCTTCAGCAGAGCATCGACATCTGGGAGGCAGCGGGAGAAAGAACAAAACAACCCCAAACACGCGGAGGTGAGCAGCGGGGCAGGGCTGCCGCTACCCCGGGGTGGGGTGCAGGGCTGGGGCTAGGCTCTGCTGGGTGCCTGCAGCCCCTCGGGGCAAAGGTGGGTGGGGGACGGGGGTACCTTTGGTGTCCAGCTCAGTCAGCGGTCCCAGGACACCTTTTTTTTTGTCGGCAGCGGCTGCCGCCCGGGCTCCATCCTTCTGCTCCTCCAGCAGGTCCTCCTGGGCCCAGCGCTGGGAGTAATGCTTCCCCAGGGGGGGGATCTGCGAGGGCAGGGCTCCGTACAGCTCCCCGAGCCCCCCGCTGTGAGGCACGGGGAGCAGCCGAGGGCTGGGAGGGGACAGGGAGGGAGGGCTCAGGAGTTTCTCACCTTGTAATGCTCAGCCTCATCCTCCGGCGGCTTGAGCAGCTCCTCCAGGACTCTGACCTCTTCGTTGGTGAGATCGGCGCAGTACGGCTCCACCGACGCCCAGAACCTGTGAGGAGGGATGAACGGTGAGGGAGGGCTGGAGGGGAGCCCTGTGGGAGCCGATTCCCCCTGCCACTTTCCCCCCCTCAGGGCACCTCGGGCTGGAGGCTGCCCTCATGCTGGGTGCTGTGAGGAAGGAGATGGGTGATCCAAGCACACACACCCCCCCCCAGCACACCTGTTCGGAGCATCATTTTTGGGAATGCGGGGCACATCAATGGGATCATCCTGGAATTCGTATTCCTGGATCTTGGGCTGCAGGTTCTTGGATTTGGGCCGGCCGGGGCCAGGCCCGGTCCCGTGGCCCCCTTTGCCCTCCAGCTTCTGCTTCTTGGGCTTCCCGTGTTTGACAGAGGTCCCCACATCGTGATCCTTGCTCAGCTTCAGGAACCGCCGGTCGCCCTTCTTGTCCTGCCAGTCCGTTAGGATCTGGAAGAGAATAATTCCCCGTCGTGTCCCGCGCCCGGTGCTGGGCAGGGACAGCGCAGAGGCAGCCCCGGGGGAACGGGAGGGACGGGGAAACACCCTCCTGCTGCGGTCCCGGCACCTGGGTCTCGGCCTCCAGGACGCGGAGGCGGCGGCTGGCGGAGGAGAGCAGCGTCTCCAGCTCCAGCTGCAGCGTGTCCAGCTCCTCGATGCCGATGCCGTCGTCCTCCGATCGGGCCAGCACGGCCGTGTACCGGGGGCACACCTTCACGTGATCCACCGACTTGAAGTCGTGGAATTGCAGCGGGCAGTCCTTCAGTTCGCTCATGGTGGCGGGGACCGGGGGGGGGGGGGGGGGGGGGAACCGGGGGCGCTGAGGGGAACCGGGGGGTGGGGGGGGATCACCGGGGCGCTGAAGGGAACGAGGGCGGGGGGAGGCAACCGGGGCGCTGAAGGGCACCGAGAAGGTCTGCGGCGGGGCGCCGGGGAGGCCCGGTGGGCGGCGGGGCACCGGCGGGGCAGCGCCGCGGGGCCGGGCCGGGCCTAGGCCGCTCGCCCCTTCCGGCCCCGGCAAGCGGCGGGCGCCCCGCCCCGCGCGCCCCGCCATTGGCCCAGCCGCGCCCAGCGTCCAGCGCCCATTGGCCCGACTCGCTCTCCATCTACCTTCCCTAATATGGAAGCGATGACAGGAGCGTACCAAGCGTGGCGAGGCGCGGGGGGGGGAGAGGGGGCGGGAAGGAAATCAGTCGTGCGGGATCTCGCCGCCGCTCCCGCTCTGAACCGCCGGCGTTTACTCGCTCTGTGACTCGGAGAGCTCTCGCTATTCTCTCCCGGGCTCTCAATGCGCAATAAGAGCCTCCCGCCATCCCCCCCCCCCTCCTCCCGCCCCCCTCCTCCCTCCGCAGTGGGAGGTCCCGCGCATCCCGGAAAAGAGGACCGGCCACTTCCGCCTACCGGGACCGGAGCGCAGCCGCCACCATGGTAGGGCGGGGATGGGGGGGGGCGCCGGGGGGGTTGCGCGGCGGCGGGGATCGGGCCGGGGGGTGACGCCGCCGCCGTGTCCCCGCAGACCGCCACGCTGCGCCCGTACCTGAACGCAGTGCGCGCCACGCTGCAGGCCGCGCTGTGCCTGGAGAACTTCTCCTCGCAGGTGGTGGAGCGGCACAACAAGCCCGAGGTGGAAGTCAGGTACCGGGGAGGGGGAGCGGGGGGGGGGGGGGCGCCGGTTCGTCCCTGCCACCGTGCTGCCGGTTTGCCCGGACGGGCCCCCGCACCCACCGGCTGCCGCAGGGCTGCTACCGGCAGGGAGCCGAGGGAGGAGGCGGGGGGGGAATCCGGGTTGGGATCGAGGGAGGATCTGCCGCGGGAGGCATCCCGCCGCAGCGTGAAGCAAAACCTCTGCCATTCCTGCGGCTCCCTGCTTGCGGGCCCCCCTTCCCCGCGTCCGACCGGGAAATGCTTCCTTCTGAGTCAGTCCTGCCCTTCCTCCGCTCGCAGGAGCAGCAAAGAGCTGCTGTTGCAGCCGGTGATCATCAGCAGGAACGAGAAGGAGAAGGTCCTCATCGAGGGCTCCATCAACTCCGTACGCGTCAGCATCGCGGTGAAGCAGGTGAGGTGGGGGCCGTGGGCCAGCAGCCCACGCCTGGTGAGAGGGAACCCTCACTTCCCTTTCCTCTCCCCAGGCTGATGAGATCGAGAAGATTTTGTGCCACAAGTTCATGCGTTTTATGATGATGAGGGCTGAGAACTTCTTCATACTGCGTAGGAAGCCCGTGGAGGTGAGGTGGTGGGGAGGGGGCAGAGCAGCTCCCAGCTCCGCTCCTGGCACTGGCCACCAGTGTGGAACTGGGGTGCAAGGTTGTGTGGTCAGTGTCCTGGGTGCTTATCCCTCAGGGCACGTCTCTCTTCCCCAGGGCTACGACATCAGCTTCTTGATCACAAACTTCCACACGGAGCAGATGTACAAGCACAAGCTGGTGGACTTTGTCATCCACTTCATGGAGGAGATCGACAAGGAGATCAGCGAGATGAAGCTCTCTGTCAACGCCAGGGCCCGCATCGTGGCAGAGGAGTTCCTCAAGAACGTGAGGCCTTGAAATGGGAGGAGGCGGGTCCCTTGTTTTCGGAGCAGGGTGTGGGGCTCCAAACCAGCGGGACCCTCATGCCCAGAGCCCCAGTGTCCCATCTGTGGGGATGGTGGTGACGTTCTGCCCAAGGAACCTCTTGAGGACGTGGAGGGGAAGGACACCCGGGGGTGCTTGTACCCCGCTTTGCTCATGAAGTGCCAGCTTTTGAGACACCCCCCTCCCCTCCAGAGCACGCTCGGGGGTGGGCAGCAGCTGTGGGGGACACCCAGCGACCAGGGGGGTGGGTACCGACTGACGGCCGGCTCTCTTCTCCTCTCGCTTTTCAGTTTTAGGCCGTGGTGCAGGACCCCGTGGCTCCCCAACGCTTGTGCCTGCCGGGCACCGTGCCTGCGCCTGCTCCCGCTCCCCCCACCTCCGAGGACACGGCCGGGCCGGGCCCCGCCTGCCCCTCGCCGGGCCGGGCGGCCGTGCTGGGAGCAGCCCCCGCTTGCGGCACAGCGGCCGCCGGTCGCTGCCCCCGTTTCGTCTCGTTTTTTTTTTTTTTTTTTAAAAAACAGTGTCGTTTGCTGTAAGCCCCGCCTCTGCTTCCTCCCTCCCGCCGCACCGGGGGGGGCGGGGCCTGGTGGGGGGCGGGGCCTGGTTGGGTGCCATGGCAACGGCAAACAGCGGGGGCGACCCCGACGGTGCGGGCAGGTCCGGGGGTGGGGAGAGTTTGGGGGGGGGGATGACTGGGGGGTTGTGGAAGGGTTTAAAGGGGAGCTGGGGGCACCGAGGGTGGGGTCTGGAGGGGTGGGGATGGGGGAGCTTTGAGGTTTGGGGGGGTGAGGGTGGCCAGAGGCAAGGGGGGTGGGCACAAGGGGGGGGCTGGTGTTTGCCCCCCCCCCCCCCCCCCCCCATTTCAGGGCGGTGGAGCCTCTGTGGTGGCCAGGCCTGGGGCTCTGCTGTCAGAGTGGTGCTGGGGTTGGGGGGGCTGCATCCTGCGCTGGACCCCCACCTCGGTCCCCAGCTGGATGAAGGAACAAGGGACCCGCTTGCACCTGGGGGAGGCAGGGCCACCCCCCCCGTTCCCCTTGCCCTCAGGCCACCGTGGGACGGTGCTGTGGGGAGAGCAGCGCAGCGGGCACACAGCCAGGGACTGTGCTCAGCTGGGGGGGGGCCACTGCCAGAGCAGGAGACGTCCTGGATGTCCCTTGGCTTGCGAGGCTGGGGATGAGGGTACAGCAGGGGAGCAGGTCATCTCGGGGGGGCACCGGCATGAGGCTCAGCAGGTCGGTGAACACGGTGTCGGGGACCCCGGGTTCAGTCAGGCAGCGGCAGGCAGGTAGGCGCCTTCTCTGCCCTCCCTGCCCACCCCACAGGGCTGGGGATGTGGGGCTGGGGGGGCATCAGCCAGGGCTGTCCTCGCAGGGCAGGTGGCACCCACCACCGCTGGCCACCGTGGCTGCCACCACCCCTCGCTTGACCCCGAGCGGCTCAAGAGGGCCAGGCTGCACGTGGAGAGGGCCATCAAGGTGAGGGACCCGATTTCGCACCCTCCCCGACATGCTGTGCACTGGCATCTCTTACGTTTATGGCTGGGGAGTGGGGGCAAGATCTGAGCTGGAGGGACCCTCCCCAGGAGAAGAAGATTTTCACCGTGCAGGGCCCCTACCCCGTCATCCGCAGGCTGCTGCGGGCCCGGGGCTGGGTGGAGAGGAAGCTCCCTGGCACGGGCAGCCAGCCGGAGCAACATCACGGCAGGCAGGAGAAGCAGCTGGAGCAGGAGGAGGACGAGGAGGAGGAGGAGGAGGAGGGAGGTGATGGTACTGAGCAGGAGGGAGCAGCACCAGATCCACAGCCTTCCCTGGGGACCCCAAAGCACTCCCCGTGTCCTCCCGAGGACGAGGAGCAAGAGGAGGAGGAAGAGCGGTGGGATGAGGACCCCGACGGCATCCACGACATCATGGTTAGCTGGGAGCACCAGGGCTGAACTCTCCCGCAGCCCCCCAGCACCCTTCCACCCCAGGACCCCCAGGCACAGGGCCAGCCTGGGGCAGGGGGCTTGGGTGGGACAGGGGTTCGGTGCCTGAGCCCGGCCCCCTCCCTCCCGCAGTCCCGCCTGGTGCGGGACCAGGTGCCGTACTTCATCTGGACCAACCGCAGCGACGCCGTCGACTGCCGGCTGCTGCGGCACGACCAGGTGCTGAACCACTACGCCCGGGTGGGCGCCTTCACCACCAAGGTGGGAGCCTGGAACCCCCGGGGACACAAACACACACACAGAGGGGAGTAGGGGGGGGAGTCCAGTGGGGGGCTGCCACCCTTCTCTAAACAGGAGGGGCTGTGCCTCAACCTGCGAAACCTGCCCTGGGTCGACCAAGCCGACCCTGACACCTTCTTCCCCCGGTGCTACCGGCTGGGGGTTGTAGAAGAGCGGCAAGCCTTCATCGGTGAGCACGGGGCTGGTGTGAACCCTGCCAGGGTCTTTTCCCTCCTGTCATCCCGCTCCCTGTGCTCCCAGATCCCCTGTGTCCTGTGCAGGATGGGGTGAGGACAATGTCCCCTCCTTGCAGAGGATTTCTGCCTGACAGCAGCTCGCAGCCTGCTCAAAGTGGCCCTGGAGAGGGCTGGGGACGTGCCGGCGGGGACGGAGCAGCCCCCAAAATCCAGCCAGGAGCCAGGTGAGCGTGTGGAGCTGGGTCTGGGAGGGATGACGGGTCAGGGTCATGTCAGAGGGCTGTGGCTTGGGACCCTCCACTCCCTCCTGCCAGCCTGCCGTGTGGGTGCTCTGCTCCCCCCACGCACCCAACGCCACCCATCCCTAGGGAAGGCTCTGTGCTTTGATCCCGACGGTGGCACAGCGGGTCCCCAGGAGCCATGTCGCTCATCCCACGCCATCCACAGCAGGGCCTGGGCCCCCCTTACCCCCCCAGTTGGTGGAGGACGCCCTGCAGGTCTGCGGGCGGCACCTGAGCAGCCTGGGGTACCAGGACATCGACGGGGACCCCCCATCCCCTGCCATGACGGGTATCGATGGGGATCGCTTCCTGCAGGACTACTACCGCGTGGTGCAGTGAGTGCTGACTGGGATTGCGGGGGGGACGACACACACCACAGCAGAGCTGGCACTGAGCACCCCGTGTATCCCCCCACAGCAAGGGGGCCAAACTGGTGTTGAGTGGGGCGCAGTGGGAGCGGTGCCAAGCCCTGCTGCGGTGCCTGGCGGGGCAGCTGCCCCAGCTCGGCATGGAGGGCAACCGCAACGTTTGGATCCTCAAGCCTGGTGCTAAATCCCGCGGCAGGGGTAAGGCTGGGGGCAGCAGAGGCGGGGGGCACGCGGGCTCCCCGTCAAGGAGAGGGTCCCACCATCACCATGTTCTCCCCCTCGACCCAGGCATCGTCTGCGTGTCGCGGCTGGAGGAGGTGCTGCGGCTGGTGGGGGGCTGCACGGCACCCTTGGCGCAGGCAGGCAAGTGGGTGGTGCAGAAGTACGTGGAGCGGCCCCTGCTCATCTTTGGCACCAAATTTGATATCCGGCAATGGTTCCTGGTGACCGACTGGAACCCGCTGACCGTCTGGTTTTACCGGGAAAGCTACCTGCGCTTCTGCTCCCGGCCCTTCTCCCTGCGCCACCTGGACCCGTGAGTGCCCACCGACTCGGACCCTGGTACCCCAGCACCCACCGGCACCCCGCTGACCCGGCCCTGCTCTCCCCGCCCCAGCGCCCGGCACCTCTGCAACGTCTCCATCCAGAAGCAGTGCAGGCCGGCGCGGGGCCGGCACCCCCGGCTGCCCCCGGACCAGACCTGGTCCTGCCAGCAGCTCCAGGAGTACCTGGCGCAGACGGGGCGGGCGGGCGCCTGGCACCAAGTGATGGTGCCCGGCATGAAGGCAGCGGTGGTGGGTGCCCTGCGCAGCGCCCAGGACCAGGTAGGGTCCCGCAAGGGCAGCTTTGAGCTCTACGGGGCCGACTTTATCTTTGGAGAGGATTGCCAGCCCTGGCTGTTGGAGATCAATGCCAGCCCCACCATGGCCCCCTCCTCGGCGGTGACCAGCCGGCTCTGTGCCAGCGTCCAGCGGGACATGCTGCGCGTGGTCATTGACCGCAGGGACAACCCTGCCTGCCCCACTGGTGCCTTTGAGCTCATCTACAAGGAGGTGAGCTGGGGTGGGGGGAGAGGGGGTGGCTCCAGGGCAGGCACCCCAAGCCCCATGTACCCCTGCAGACGCCCGTGCCGGTGCCCCTGTACGTGGGGCTGAAGCTGACGGTGGAAGGCTGCTCCCTGCGGAAGCCCCGCCTGGCGCAGCACCGAGCCCGGGGCAAGCCCCCCACCACTGCGCCTGGTGCCCCCCAGCCCCCTAACCCCTTGGGCAAAGCCACCCTGATCCCCCAGCTGGAGCCAGCACGGGGTGAGCTGGCTCCTATGGGGCGCTGGAGCCATGGCTGCCCCCCCAGCTCTGCCCCTCCAGTGCCACCGCTGCCCCCAGCCTCCAGCACTGGGAGGAGGGGGCTGCCACAGCTCAGCCCCCTGCTCGGGCAGCCTCCAGCAGCTCTGCCCCAGCTCCGTGTCCATCCCCGGGACAGGGTGCCCGTCCTGCTGCCCCGGAGAGCCCCCGGCAGCCCCTGGGAACCCGTGGGCCAGGCCCCCCCCCCTTCCTCTCCTCCTGCCAGGGTGCTGCACCTACCCGGGCTGGCACCCAGTGCGTGGACCCCGAGCCCTGCTGAGGGGAGGAGGCCCACGGCAGCGCCCAGGGGGAGGCAGAAGAGCCGTGACGCTGAAGGACACCCAGGAGGGGACAGCAGCACCCTGCCCGGCCCAACTGGGGCAACACAGCAGCACCCAGGTCCCCCCCACCCCTGCTAGACCCCATTGCTGGGTGGGGGCACCCAGCCCACACCCCACGGGGGCTGCAAAACATGTCTGTGATGGGGAACCTGGCTCTGTCCTTCTGTGTGTGGGGAGGTACGGGGCTACGGGGGGGGATGGGACGGTGGCAGGGCTGCCATCACTGCCTCTGCCTGGGTTGGGGGGTGCTGGTGCCCCCAGCAAGGCCGTGGCGATGGGGGTGGGGGGTGGAATGTGTCCCACATGCAGCAAGAAAAAGAAACGGGCACTGAGGCAGGCGGTCAGCAGGTGGGGATTTAATGGGGTGGCAGAGGGGGGAGTGGGTCGGGGTGGGGGTCCCCCCCGCGGGCGCTAAGGCTCCTGGTGCTCGGGCAGCCCCAAGCAGCGCAGGGTGTGCAGGAAGTAGGGGGGCAGGGGGGCGCAGAGCGGGCCCTGGGGCAGCACCAGCTGCTGCAAGTGGAGGTGGAGCGGGAGGTGGCGGAGCCGCTGCGGGGAGAGCCCCAGCCGGGACAGCAGCTCCTCATCCAGCACCTGCAATGGGGCGGAGGGTGGGGGGCAGCTGAACGGGGATCCAGGATGAACGCCCCCCCCCAGCACCCACCCCATCCACATACCTGCGTGCGGGCTGGGGCAGCTTCAGGGGGCAGGAGGAAGGGCACCCCCAGCACCCTGCCCACGCGGGACGAGTACTTGTGGTCACCCAGGACTGGGCACAGCAGCAGCGTCAAGTGCACCGGGAGCTGCTCCGGGAAGGCTGGGGAGGCACGGAAGGGGGGGTGGGTGGTGGTGGTATCATGCTGATGTGGGGGGCGTGGGGACGTTGGGGGGGGCCACTCACCCGTCCCGGGCTGGAGCTGGAGGAGGGCACAGCCCCCCGCAGCACCCAGCACCCGGTAGCATGTCAGGGTGTTCTTCACCTCCTTCCTGGCCAGGCTGCGGCGTCCCGGGGCCAGCACCGGCAGCACCTGCAGCAGCGCAGCCCTCAGCACCTCCCTGGGGGGACCCCCCCCACACCCCCCGGCACCCCCTCACCGTAGCAGTGTCACCCTGCTGCTGCCAGCGCAGCCCGACACGGATCTTGCCCTCTGCCTCTGCTGGGACCCCCACGGTGACAGCGCTGTGGGGAGAGGAGGGGATGGGGGGTGTTTTCTGTGTGCGTGTGTGTGTGTGTGTGCGTGTCCCCTCCCCGGGGGGTCCCGGGGGGACTCACCGGTACGTGGCAGGGTACCGGCCCCTCCGGCGGGCATTGCTGAAGAACTGCTGGAGCTGCTCGGTGACGCGGCGGCAGCCGGACAGGAGGACAAGGCCAGAACACTCCCTGCGAGATGTGGCGGGTCTGAGCCCCCCGCCCCGGGCAGGGGGGTGGCACCCCCTGACACTCCCCCCCCCCAGGACCCCCTGACTGTACCTGGCAGGAGCCTTCACCACCTGGAGCTCAGCGGGGAGGCCCAGGCGCCGTCTCAGTGCTGGCAGCAGCGCCGACAGGCTCAGCTCCCCGGCGTGCCCTGGGGACGAGCGGGGGGGTGTCAGCACCCACAGGGACACCCCCCCCTCCCCACCACTCCCAGCCGGCTCCCCCGTCCCGCACTCACCCAGGACGGGCAGGCCAGGGGGCTTGCTCAGCGCCAGCAGGGCTCCTGGCGAGGGGATGCCTGGTCAGGATGCGGCCCCCCCCACACTGACACGCTCCCCCCCCCCCCCCCGCACCCCCACACCCACGCGGTACCTTCCTGGTGCACCACGGAGGCCTCCAGCAGCCCCAGCGTCTCCTCGGGGCCCAGCGGCCGCCCCCGCCTGTGGTGGGGTGGAGTGGGTGGGGGGGACACGGGTAGGACACCCCCACGGCAGTGGGACCCTTTTCCCGGCCACCGACCCCGCAATCCCACCTTGCGCGTCCCTCCCAGCCCCGGGGCGTGTCCTCAAACCCCACAACCACCGCCCTTCCCCACGCGTGTCCCCGCACCCTCCTACGCTCCCCCAGCCCCGCTGTGCTCGCGCACGTGCAAACCCCCACGCCCGTGTGTGTGTGTGTCCCGCCCTCTCTGCACCCACGCGTGCGCACCTCCCACGCGCCCCCCCAACAAGCCCCCGCGTGTGCCCGCGCCCACGCCGCGCAGCCCCGCTGACCCCGCGCCGCGCGCCCCGTGGCGCGCGCGCGCCAGTACGCGCGCGGCGGTGCCGCCGCCCGCCATAGCGGCACTGCGCTTGCGCGGGGGGGGGGGGGGGGGGTGTGCGGCGGCAAGGGGAGGAGCACCCCGCCATAGCGGCCATAGAGCCGAGCCTCCGAGCGCACAGAGCGGCCGCCCAGGCGGTCAGAGCCGGCAGCCGTGACCATAGATAAGCGGAAGCGCGGGCAGAGCGTCCCGCTGGCAGGTGGGGTGCGGCGCCCGCGGCGGTGCCGGGCCGGGGGGTCCCCGATCTTGGGGTGCTCCGGGGTCCCGAGGGCCTGTCACTGCAGGGGGGAGGCCCGGGGAGGGGTTATACCCGCGCGGGGATCGGGGCTTTGCGGTTGCGGAGCGGGGCCGCCCCGGGGGAGCGGGCCGGAGGCGGGGGGGGGGGTGCCGGTTCCCGCCTGACGCTGTGCCTCCCCAGGATAGCACTATGGCCTCCCGCGGGGGTCCCCGCGCCGCTGGCACCGACGGCAGCGACTTCCAGCACCGGGAGCGCGTGGCCTCGCACTACCAGATGAGGTGGGTGCCCCCCCCCCACCCCTCCCGGGCTGCAGGGAGGGGGGGGGGGATCCGTGTGTGTGTATGTGTCCCCAGCAGGCCCTGACGTTCCCCATGGTCTCTCTCTCTCCAGCGTGACCCTCAAGTCAGAGATCAAGAAGCTGATCTACACGCACGTGGGCATCTGGCTGCTGCTGCTGGCACAGATGTGCGTGGGGCACCTCAAGCTGCTGCCCCATGACCAGGTGGCCATGCCCTACCAGTGGGAGTACCCCTACCTGCTCAGCATCCTGCCCTCCCTCCTGGGCCTCCTCTCCTTCCCCCGCAACAACATCAGCTACCTGGTGCTCTCCATGATCAGCACCGGCCTCTTCTCCGTGGCTCCCCTCATCTATGGGGCCATGGAGATGTTCCCCATGGCACAGCAGCTCTACCGTCACGGCAAAGCTTACCGCTTCATTTTCGGCTTCTCGGCCGTCTCTGTCATGTACCTGGTGGTGGTCGTGGCCGCCCAGGTCCACGGCTGGCAGCTCTACTACAGCAAGAAGCTGCTGGACTCCTGGTTCACCAGCACGCAGGAGAAAAAGAAAAAATGAGTGGGAGAAAAAGAAGAAAGGAGCGGGGACACGGCAGGGACGGGGTGGCAGCTCAGTGGGTGCTGGAGCTCTGCAGCCAGGGTCCTGTGGGGCAGCGCTGGCGCAGCTCCTGCGGGTGGGGGGAGCCCACGGGGACCAATGTGTGTGTCTGAGCTGTGCCCCGGCTCTGGGTTTGTGTGCAGGGAGCTTGGGAGGGGCGGGGGGAGCAGCTCGTGGGCAGTGGATGGTCCCCACCGCCGCCCCCCGACCTCCCCCCCCCCCCCCCCCCTTTCTCTGCGTGTTGCTCTATGGAAATAAATCCCCTTCCACGCTCCCACGCGTGTCTGCGCCGGGCGGGGGGGTGGCGGGGCCGCACGTGCCGACGGAGGAATGCGGTGGGGCGGGGCGCGGAGCGGCGGCTCGGCCATGGGGCGCCCGGTGCTGCTCGCCGCTGCCGCCGCGCTGCTGCTGCTGCTGCTGCTGCCCGGGGCCGCCGCTGCCGTCACCCGCCTCCGGGTCTCCGCCAATTTCGTGAGCACCGGGGAGGGCTCTGTGTGTGGGGCGGCGGAGGGGGGGAGGGGCGGGCCGCTGCGCTCACCAACACCCCCCCACACACACACCCCCCCCCCCCGTCTCTTTGCTTGCAGGAATGCCGGGCCACCGGTGAGTATCGCCGGGGCAGGGCTGCGAGCGTGGGGCTCCCCCCACCCGCGGCTACCGGGTCGCGGGAGGGGGGCGTGTGTGTGTGTGTGTGGCTCCCGGGGCTTCCCCCCTCCCAAAGACTCCTAGGCCCCGAGGCTCCCTCTGTGTAGAGCTTCCCGCCCCTCCCGAAAACTCCCGGTACCCGGGGCTCCCCCTTCCCGGGGACTCCCGGTGCGTGGGGCTCCCTCCTCCCGGTTTAGGGAATCACGGTGCGTGGGCCCCCCCGAAGACTCCCGGTGCGTGGGGCTTCCCCCCTCCCGAGGACTCTCGATGTGTAGCGCTCCACACCCCCCCCACACCCCCCCCACCCCGCTTGGGTCTCCCCTTTCCCGGGGCTTCCCCCCTCCCGAGGTCCTCCCGGTGCGTAGACCTTCCCTCCCCGCCTGGGACTCTCCCCGGGGCTCCCGGTGCAGGGGGCTCCCGGTATGCGGGACCCCCCCCGTCGCACGGCCGCTCGTCTCCTCTCCCCCCGCCAGCCGACAGCACGCTGAGCCGCCCCCGCTGCCGCCGCCCGGCCCGGGCCGGGCCCCCGCTGAAGCCGCCGGCGCTGGCGCTGGGCAGGGCCCGCCTGTGCCTGCCCGGCCAGCCCTGCCAGCCCTGCCTGCGGGTGCGCCTGGCCCTCCCCGCCGCAGGTACGGGGGGCCGGGGACATCGGTTGGGGGGGGGGAAAAAAGAGAGGGCGGCTCGTCCTCCCACCCGTGTCAGCACCCCACGTCGCTTTCCCGCAGAGCTCGACGGTGTGCGCGGGTTGCAGCTCAACTTCCTGGAGCTGGGCTCCAACCGGGCGGGCTGGCTGCAGGTGTGGCAGCGGCACCGGGTGCCGGGAAGCTCGCCGGTGAGTACGGGGGGGCGGGGGGGGGCGCACGGTGGGGCTTGGACGGTGGAGCGGCACGTCCCGCTCACGTCTCCACCCCCCCCGCCCCGTGCTCCCCGCAGTGGCGGGTGAAGTTCGACTGCTTCCCGGTGGAGAGCGGTCAGCAGGTCCTCGTCTCCCTCCGCACCATCCCTGACCGAGGTTTGGCCCTCAGCCGCAGCCGCCTGGTCGCCGCAGAGCCACCCGGTGAGGCTGGGAGGGACCCTGGGGCGGCGGGGGGGGGGGGGGGGACACAACGACGCACCGGCTGACCCCCGCCTGCTCCACAGGACCCGTGTTCACCCACGCCTGGGTCCCCGAGGCACGGGCCATCGAGGTGTGGGTGCCCCAGGGCCATGCCCTGATGGTGCGGCTGTGCTACCAGCTGGCCCTCGAGTGCGAGGAGCTGCCGCGGCCCTTCCACCAGCAGGTAACGGAGCCCCCCAGCCACGACCCTCCCAGGCTGGGGACCGTGCTCCCACGCCTGCTGACGCTGCCTCCGTGCCCGCAGGTGCTGGTGCCGGGGGGCCGCCGCGTCTTGCTGCCGTACGAATTCCTGGTGCCCTGCCTGTGCGTCGAGGTGCGTCGCTCTCCCCCGCGGCCGCCGGGCTCCTCTCTCTGCCCCCGTGGCCCGGGCAGGCAGGAGGAGGGGGATCACGTCCTGCCCTGACCGCTCTGCTCCGCTCCCCCAGGCCTCCTACCCCCACCACGACAGCCCACGCAGCAAGCGCTGCCCCTTCCGCGAACAGCCGGTTGCCTGTGAGTGCCCATGGGGAGGGGAGCCGGGTCCTGAGGTCGCCCCCCCATCCACCCCCCGCTCCCCCAGCACGCTGACGGGCTGCCTTTCAGATGGCCCCGAGCTGTGGTCCTCGGTGCGCTTCCACGACTACAGTGCCAGCAGCAAGGACCAGATGGCGATGGTGCTGAGCACCAGCTGCCCCCTGCACCCCCGGGCCACCCTGTGCTGGAGGGAGGCAGTGGCTGAGGCTGCGCCTTGCCACGACATCCCCAACTCCACTGCCAGCGAGGAGGAACAGGTGAAAAGTCTTGGTCTCGGGGTGCTATGGGGCACCAGCCTGGACCCCAAAGTCCCCCGCGGGCGGGTGCTGGGGTGCCCATGGGCTATGTGGGACAGGGACAGTGACACGCTCTCTGCCTGTTCCAGGCATACACGCTGGACAAGGTGGATGTGCACCCCCAGCTCTGCTTCCGGGTAAGCCCCCCACGGGTGGGTGGGCCCCTGCCTGGGAAGGGGCTGGGGGGCAGCGGTGGGTGATGGTGGCGGCTCACCCGGCCCCTCTGCCGATCCCCCCGGCTCCCCACAGTTCTCCTATGGGAACAGCAGCCACGTGGAGTGTCCCCACCGGCCAGGTGAGCCTCACGGGTGGGGGGCACCCCTGGTCTGAGCACAGCCCTGCCCCAGGGCCCCTCGCACCTCTCAACCCCTCGGGCAACCTGCAAACTGACACCCCCCCCCACCCACCCCCGGTTATCTCTGCGGTGGCTGCAGAAACGGCCTGGAATGTCTCAGTGAGTGTTTGGGGGCTACAGCTGCGCCTGCACCTCACCTCCCGCATCCCCGCGGCCTTCAGCGCAGCCCTCTGCCAGCGCCGGGGCGGGCAGTGTGAGCCCGAGCCCCCCCTCTACACCGTCACACAGGTGAGCAGCGTGGGGCTGGGGACACACACACACACACGTAGGAGGGGGCTGACCAAAGTTCACCCTGTCCTTGTGCTTTGCAGCCAGAGGGCTCTGCCCCGGGGGAGCTGGCGCTGCTGCTGCCGGTGCGAGTCTTGGGCAGCTGCGTGCTGGTAAGGTGACCCCTGTGCCAGCACCTGTCCCATGGGGGGGGGGGGGGGGGCTGTGTGTGCATGGACCCCAATCTGGGCCCCTCCCTCACCCAGCCCCTTCCCCAGGTGTGGCGCTCGGATGTGCACTTTGCTCGGAAGCAGCTGCTCTGTCCAGATGGTGAGTGGGGGGTCCTGGGGGGACCACTGGGGGTGGTGGGGGTGGGAAGACACACTCCCCACCCCCCACTCCCCCCTCCATCTCACTGCCCCTCTCCCAGTCTCCCGCAGGCACTTTGGGCTGCTGGGGCTGGCGCTGGGGCTGGGGCTGGTGATGACTGTGCTGCTCTTCAACTGCCGTGGTGCCTGGAGGCCGGCTGACGGTGAGGAGCACCCTGGGGGGATGAAGGATGGAGGGGGCCAGTGGCCGTGGGGCTGAGATGCTGGGGGGTCCCAGCTCCCTGGGCTGCAGAAGGTTCTGGGGTGGTATGGTAGATGCCCGGCTGCCCTTGGGGGATGCCAGGGGTGCTCGGGGCAGGTCTGTCACTGCTGTCCCCTCCATCCCACAGGTGACCCGGGCGGGCGCCCCGTGCTGTTGCTGTACTCACCAGATTCGGAGGAGCACCTGGGGCTGGTGTGCGCCCTGGCCGAGCGGCTGCGCGTGGGGCTGGGCTGCGACGTGCGCCTGGACCTGTGGGAAGCGGGCGACGTGGGGCGGGCGGGCGCCCTGCCCTGGCTCTACGCCCGGCGGGGCTGCGTGGGCCGCCAGCGCGGCACCGTCCTCCTCCTCTGGAGCCGGGGAAGCGCCCAGCTCTTCCGCCGGTGGCGGATCGGGGCGGCCAGTGGGACCCCCGGGGATGCCCACGACATCTTCGGGGCGGCCATGGCCTGCCTGCACGGGGAGCTGGGGGCGGCGGGCCGGGGGTGCGGCTGGGTGCTGGCCTATTTCAGCCGGCTCTGCAGCCCTCGCGATGTCCCCAGACCCCTCCGGCCCCTGCCCACCTACCGCCTGCCCCGCCAGCTGCCCGGCTTGCTGGGCGCCCTGCGGGGCAGCCCCCCGGCCCCCCGCCGCTGCCGCCGGGGCAGGGTGGGGGGGCTCCTACACCGGCTGCTGGAAGCGGGGGCCGGGGAGGGCAGTCCCCCACCCCAGCCCCCTGGGGCGGCCCCTGGCACCTGAGTGCCCATGCTGGTGCTGAGCTGGGCGTTGCTGTGGGGCTGGCGGGGCTGGGCACAGCCCCCCGGTGAGGGCGGGGGTCCCCTCATGGAGGTTCAGGGCTTGGCTGAGTGTGCCGAATTCAGCGGCAGGAGGGGTGCCCATGGGTGCCCCAGGCAGGGGCTGTGGGTGCCATGGGTGCCCGAGCAGCGGTCGCTGTGGCTGTGGGATGTGCTGTGGGGACCGGGGCGAGTGTCCAGCCGAGCCCCTGGGTCCGGGAGCGCAGGCGCTGTCTTGGGAAGGGGCAGCTTTATTTCCACACAGGGACCTGCTTCAGAGGACAGCCGGGACCCCGGGGAAGCCCCTTGGGATGCCGGAGCTGGGCGAAGAGCTGGGGTGATGCTGGAAGAAGCTGGGAAGTGGTGGTGGGGGGCTCCCTGCCCTGCCTGGGGCACGGGTGCTGGGGGGGCAGGCTGCTGGGCACAGCCCAGCCCTACCTCCTCGCTCCCACACTGTCGGTGGGACCTTGTCTGGGGTGGAAGCAATAAAGGCACTGTTCCACCCTGTCCCGCTGTCTGTATGGAGTGCAGGGGGGCTTGGACAGTGCCCTAGGGCAGGCGGGGGCTGCCTGGTGCTCCCCTGCAGCACGGAGGGGGGCAAGAGGACGCACCCGGCAGTGCTCAGCCTGGCACGGCTGTTGCACCCGCACCGTATCCCACAGACAGCTCTGTGGGGCCAGCCTGGGCGCCGTGCCCAGGCTGTGGGGCAGACGCCATGGGGCAGGGGCAGGCCCCATGCGCGAGCCGTGGGGCCCCGAGTCCTCCCGGTGGTGCCGGGACGCGGAGCCTGTCCGTGGGTCGGTGCGGGAGCGGGGAGGCCCCACCCCGGGGCGGTCGCCGCGCTAAGACCCGGGTGTCCGGGATCGGAGCAGGAAGCGGGAGCCGGCGGTGGCGGTGGGGCCCGTGGAGCCGGGAGCGGGGCCGTCGGGAGTGGACGGCGTGGGGCCGGGGCGCCCCACGGCCCCGGCCCCGCCATGCGCGCGCTGTGGGAGCTGCTGGCGGTGGCGGCGGCGGTGGCGGCGGGGGCGATGGGTGGGCGCCAGCCCCCCCACGACACCCTGACCTGCTCCCAGGTGGGTCTGCGTCGCCGGCACACGGGTGGCCGGGCACCCCGGCACCGCCACCGGCCCCACTCCCGCCTCCCCCCAGGGCCTCGCCTGCCGCCTCCTGGGTAAGTGCCACCGCTGCTGCCGTCGCCCCCAGCCCACCCGGGGTCTGGGGTCCCACACCACCCGCTGTCTCCCCCCCTCCACCACCAGACACCGATGTGCTGTGCGGGACGGAGCCACCGGGACCCAGCCACGGGCTGACCCTGGCTCGGCTGCGGCTGGAGCCGGCGCTGCGCTGCACCGGCCCCACGGCCTGCTCGCCCTGCCTGGAGGCACGCCTGCGCCTGGCCGGGGCGCCCGGCACCGGCACCGGTGACCCCCGCCACCCCACGCCACCGGGCAGCCCCGGGGTGGAGGATGGCAGCGAGGGAGAACAGCGGTCAACAGCGGATGGGGCCGCCTCGTCCCAGCCCAACATCACCGGGCTGCTGTTGCTCTCCGGGCACGCGTACGCCTTCTCCCGCTGCGTGGCCGTGGAGGTCCGGGCGCTTCTGCCCCCCACGCTGCCCGGCCAACCCCTGGTACGTAGATGCAGGGCGCTGGGGGTGGGTGCCCCCAGCACCGGCAGTCCCCGGGTGCTGCGGTGCGTGGGGACGTGGGTGCGGGCGCCAGCGCGTCTTCTCCGCGGCGCGGTGCTGGTCCTGTTCCCCGTGCCCCGGGGAGGTGGGCGCTGGTGGTGCCGGTGCCTCGCCGCAGCGCAGTGGTGGTTTTCCTCCCCAGGGCTGGGTGACCTACCGGTGTTTCACAGCGCCGCTGGGCTCTGAACTCCACGTCACGGCGTACACCAACTCGCGTGGCCACCGGAGGCTGAGCCAGCGGCAGTGGGTGCCAGGTGAGCCCCCCCGGCATGCCCCGTCGTGGCGGCCCCGTCCCCCCTGTCCACTGACCCCCCTGTTCCCACAGACTGCTCGTGGCCCGCAGCACAGGCTGCCGTCCCCCAGTGCCAAGGTAGGTGCTGGTGTCCCCCAGCCGTGACAGCGCTGAGACCCCCCCACCTTGTCCCCTGGGGAGACCTGGGCGGTGGATGCCAGGGGGAGAGGGTGACCCCCGGGGTGCCCGTGCCCTGTGCCACGGTGCCGGGTGCCCTGAGCAGCCTCCGGTGCAGTGCCCAGGCTGCGGGTCTCCTCGGGGCCAAAGGAGGTGGTCGTGGAGGTGCAGGGGGCCGCAGCAGGGCACAGCTACACCCTCCGGCTCTACCGCAACCAGAGCCACGGCACCGGTGGGCCGGGGCGTGCAGTGACCGCGGTGAGTATGAGCCCCTTCCTTAACCCCCGCACCCTGGCCAGACTCTGGCCGCTGCCCCCTACCCCCCCAATCCTCGGGAAGCGGTGTCTGTGTTACAGGCAGGGTGCTGGGAGAGGGTCCCCTGGGAGCGGGTGACCCTGCCGGGGGTTCTTTGCCACGAGGTGACCCACGTCTGGTTGCCGGTGGCAGAGCAGCCCCATGAACTACAGCCTGCCAACCGACGAGGTGCTGCCCTGCCTCTGCCTTCAGGTGGGTGCCTGGACGGGTGCCGCGGGGGTGGCAGGGCTGCCACAAAGCAGAGGGACTCCAGGCACTGTGCGTCCCCCTTCTGCATCCTGAGAGGGATAATTGGCTCATGATCACAGCGTGGATACCCCAAATATTGTTTTTTTTTCTCTCTTCTCTCTCTCCCACCCCACCAGGTTTGGCCGGAGACCCAGGACCCACTGCGGGCCACCCTGTGCCCCTTCTCCCACGGTACCTGCACCGCAGGGCTGCGGCATGGGGTGGCCGGGACACAGGGGGACCCAAGGAGACACCACATGGGGTGACACCCCTCTCCCTGTACTGCTGCAGACGCTGAGGCCTGGGAACGGCTGTGGGCGCGCAGCCAGCTGGTCCTGCATGTTGGGGGCCGGTCACTGACCTGCTCCCTCTCGTCCCCCTGTGACCTCCTGGCCAAACTGGTGCCCTGTTGGCAGCCAGTGCCTGCAGGGCCCTGCCAAGCCCTGCCCGGCCTGCAGCAGCTCGCCGTGGGGCAGGTGAGTGGGGCTCTGCGGGGCGCCGGCGGCACGGTGGCGGGTGGCACTGACAGAGCATCCCTTCCGCCTGCAGGGACCTCAGGAGTTTGGGGGGCTGAAGCCGCACCCCAACCTCTGTGTGCAGGTAGGACGCTCCTCCACCCCACGGGCTGCCCCACGGGCAACCCCAAGCACTGCTAACCCACTCTCTGGGGCAGGTGTGGAGCGGCGGGCAGGTCCAGCTGACCCAGTGCCTGCGGGACCGTGAGTACTGCTGGGGTGGGAGTGCGGGGTTCCAGCTAGGGGGTGAGCCCCCCACTTTGGCCTCCCCTTGCCGCGCTGTGCCCTCCCTCAGCGCCCTGCCACATCCCCAGGAGCGCTGCCTGGCCGCCCTGACGACGTCCTGCTGCTGGAGCACGGGGGGAACGCCTCGCTGTGCGCCCTGGAGCGGGGCGCCTGCACGCCTCTCGCCAGTTTCACCAGCACGGTAAGGGATGGGGACCCCCGCATCCCCGGCGGCGGCGGCGGCACCGGTGGCACAGCTGGCTGACCCCCCGCCGCTGTCGCAGGGAGCGGGGCACCCGGGGCTGCTGGAGCGGGAGCTGCGGCGGGATGTGACGGCGGGGCAGTGCAGGCAGGTCAGTGCGGGCAGCCGGCGGGCAGCGGGCAAGGAGCCGGCAGTGTCTGACCTGTCCCCGTGCCCGCAGATCTGGCACCCCGAGAACAGCACCGGCGGCACCCTCTGGGCCTGTCCCCTGCACAAGTGTGAGTGTTCCCGGCTGTGCTGGGGCAGAGGGGGGGGCAGGCGTGGGGCTGGGGGAAGGCACCCACCCCGTGGGGACCTTCAGGAGGTGCTGGGGGTCCTGTGCGGACGCTGACCCCCACCCCACAGACCGGCGTGCCCGCTGGGCGCTGGCGTGGATGGGAGTGCTGCTGGGGGCTGCCTGCCTCCTGCTCTTGCTCCTACTGAAGAAGGAAGACGTGAAAGGTGAGCAGTGCCTGTCTGGGGGCTGTGCCTGGCCTGGGGACCCCCTCGGGGACCCCTCCTCACTGCTTCTCCTCCTCACAGGCTGGCTGAAGTCCCTAAGGGCTGACTATGGCTCCGAGGGTGAGCATGGGGCGAGCTCAGGGTCTCGGTTGGGTCGGCAGGGATGTCCGTGCCTTCCCTGCAGGGTCAGGGGACAGAGTGTGTGTGGGGGGTCCCCCATCAGGGCTGGTCCCATATGGCGGGTATAGGGTGCCCAGGGAGGGTTTGGGCACCGACCGTGTCCCCCCTCCCCACCCAGCCCCGCTGCGAGGCCGACGGGCGCTGCTGGTGCACGCGGTGGAGCCGGCGGCGGAGCGGGCAGCCTGCACCTTGCTGTCGGCCCTGCGCCCGCTGGGGCTGGCCGCGGCGGCAGCGCCGGGGGGTGGCAGCGGGGCGGCGGCGTGGGGGCCGTTGCCCTGGCTGCACGCCCAGCACCGCCGGGCGCTGCGGGACGGTGACACCGTCATCCTCCTCCTCTCCCCTGCGGCCGCGGCGGCCGCACGCCGGTGGGACGCTGAGGCCAGGACCGTGCCGGACCCCCCTGATGTCCCCAGCACAGCGCCCTGTGAGGTGTTTGCAGCGGCTCTCTCCTGTGCCATGCCATCGCTGGCGGCGGGCGCCGGGTGCTACGTGGTGGCCCGGCTGGAGGCCCTGGTGCCGGCGGTGCCCCCGGCACTGCGGGCAGCCCCCGCTTTTGCGCTGCCCAGCGAGACGGGGGGTTTCCTGCGGGCGCTGGCGGCACCCGGTCGGCGGCGGGGCCGGTGGCCGGAGCCGTACGTGGCGGTGGTGGCCGAGGGGCTGCGGCGGGCGCTCGGGGAATAAAGAGGTGATGGTGCTTTTGCTGAGAGTGAGTCCAGCCCCGGTGCTGTGTGCTGGGGGGGGAGTGGGGACTGGGGAGGACTGGAGAGGGGTGATGGGGAGGTAACGGCGGGGGTTGGCGGAGGAAGTGCTGGAGAGGGGAAGTGGGCTGGTTTGGTTGGAGAGGGGAACTGGGCCGGTTTGGGGTGGTGAAGGGGAACTAGTGCAGTTCAGAAGGGGGATGAGGGGGAACTGGGCAAATTTTGGGGTGGTGAGAGGGAGCTGGACCAGTCTGGATTGGTGGGGAGGGGAAGGTGACCTGGGCAGCTTTGGCGGAGGCGGAGTGATGGGGAGCAGCCCAAGTGGGTCGGGGGGTTGAAGGCCTCGCCCAGGCCAGGCGGGAGCGGTGCCGGTGCGTTCCGGGGCGCCGCTCCTGCCCCACGCGGGGGGGGGGGGGTGTCACCGGCCACGACCTCTACGCACCCCCCTGCCGCTTGCCCTTGGCCGCAGCCCCTTTAAGGCGCGGGGAGGCGGGGCGCCGCCGGTCGTCGCGGATTGGCTGGGAGCGGGAGGGCCGGCGGCAGCGGGCGCGCAGCCATTGGCCGGGGCGGTGGGCGCTGAGTCAGCGGGCGCGGCCCACGTGGTGCGGGCGGGGCGGGGCGGGGCGGGGGAGGATGGGGCCGCGGCGGCGCCGGGGGGCTGCGCTGCCGCCGTTACCGGCGCGGCGGGGGGGGCCGGGGCTGGGGGGGACCCTGCTGGCGGCCGTCCTCCTCGGGGGGGTCCTGCTGGCGGTCGCCCGCGCCCAGCCGGACTCGGACCGGGACGGGGCCGAGCCCTGCCGAGCCTGCCGCGGCCTCGCCGACAGCTTCAGCAGGGTGCGGGGATGGGAGGACACGCGCACACACGCGCACACACGCGGGGGGGGGGGCGTGGGGGGTGTCCGTGGCGTGGGCGGGACGTGGAGGCATGATGGAGGGGGGCTGGGATAAAGGCGAGGGGAGCAGTGGCGTGGGGGGCTCCCATGGGTGACAGACACCGGGGGTGGGGGGGTGGCCCGGCACAGGGTGTCACACTTTGGGGGTTGACGGGTGAACAGGGACAAAGGGGATTTTGGAGGGGGGGGACCCAGGGGGAGCGCTGGCTGGGGGTGGGGGGAGGAAGGAGTTGACAGGGTCCCAGAGCTGGGGGGGGATTGGCCTGGGGGAACATTGGGGGGGGGGGGGCGCCTCCCCCAGCATCCCGAGGGAGTGTGGGGGGGTGGCACGGTGCCTGGGCTCTGCTTTGGGGAGAGGGTGGTGGGTCCCTGTGGTGACGTGTCCCTGGGGTGAGGAGGGTGGCATGGCCTGGGGGGGGGACGACCCTAAGGGGAGGTGGGCTATGGGGGGTGAGGGGGGAGGTCCCACGCCTGTGCTGTCCCCTCCCCGATATGCCCAGGGTCTGGAGCGGACGGAGCACGAGGGCTTTGGAGGGGGCAACACAGCCTGGGAGGAGGAGAAGCTGGCCAAGTACCAGCACAGGTGGGTGCCCCGCAGGTGCAGGGGGTGTCTGGGGGGGGCCCTGCTGCCCCGGGGGGACACGTCCCCACGCTGACCCTGTCCCCGCAGCGAGACCCGTCTGCTGGAGGTGCTGGAGGGCGTCTGCACCCCCTCGGACTTCGCCTGCCACCAGCTGCTGGAGCAGAGCGAGGAGCACGTGGAGCGGTGGTGGTTCCACGAGTGAGTCTGGGGGCGAGGACACAGAAGCGGGGGTGTGGGGGGGGGGGGGCACACAGGGGGGATGGCAGGGGGCTGAGCACCATGTGCCCCCCCCTCCCCCAGGCGCCAGCAGCACCCCGACTTCTTCCGATGGCTGTGCGTGGACAGGCTGGCTCTTTGCTGCCTGCCCGGCACCTACGGCCCCGACTGCCGGCGTGAGTAGCTGCGTCACGAGTGGGATGCTGGGGGGGGGGGGGGGCCCGGGCTGGAGGGGCCCCCCGGCACGCTGCCCCCGCCACCCCTGCTGCCACTCGGCTGGTCTCTCCCCGCGC